GGACTCGGACCGAGACCCCCTCGCCGCGACGGTTGGGCCTGGGGTCGCCCCACGGCCGGAGCCGCCGGGAACGGAAGGCCGCGCGGGGCGGCCGCTGGACACACTCACCTCGGCGTCTTCCTTGCACTGTGGGAGGGAAGGGAACGCCAGCTTCACGTCCTCCATGGTCCGGCCCCGCGGGCCGGGGCGGGGTGAGGAGCGGTCCCGCCGGCCCGACCCTCGGGCGGGCGGCAGCGCCGAGAGGAAGGAGGGCCGGAGGAGGGAGGGGTCGGGGGAAGGGCCGACGGCGGGCGGCGCGCTCACAACCAACACTGGCAGATTATAGCATCCCAGCGACTCCGCTGGCGGCGGCGGCGGCGGCGGGGAAGACGAAGGCTGGGCGGCTCGTACCCGGCCGCCATGCTGCGACCGTACCCCTTCTCGGAGTCTCCGCGACCCCCGGAGCAGCCCGAGAACCCGCACCGACACGAGCCGTACAACCGTCTCCCTCCTTCCCCGTTCCGCCTCCCCCCCCAACGCCGCCTCAGCCAATCCCAGCCCACGCTCGAGTTCGTCCCGCCCTCCGCCGCAGCCAGGTGTCAGTGCGCCGAGCCCCGCCCCTCTTCTAGAGCGCAGACGCGAAGGGCGGGGCCTGGACCGGAGCGCGCCGAGTGGAGGGGGTGGGGCTGCGACGGGAGAGAGGGAGGCCGGGAGCCGGAGACGCCCTGGATGGGCTGAGTGCTGGTCGACCCAGGTCGGCCCCTTCCTGCACGGCGGCAGATCTGGTCCCGCGCCTTAACCGAAGGGGCAAAACATCCTATCACCAGAGACGGGCTTCCGACAGGAAAGCTTAGGTTTCTCCGTGGATCCTGCGCATTCTGAGAAGTTATAACCCCAACCGTACGTTGTGCTACACCGATAGAAAACCCCTGTCACCTTTAGTAACTGAAGCCAGAGCCTGTGAGAATACTTGGGACCGTGTTTACATTACCTAGAAAAATTTTTTTAAAAAATCACAAAGAAACGTATCTCACTCTGTAAATTGTACACCGTATTTTAAAATTTCTTCCTTTGGGTTAAAATTAACAGTGAAGTACAGGGTGTGGGGATCTTTTAAAAGAGAGGTCCTATTAATACATTGTTAATAAAAATTAGGCATATGCTTTCTCCCAACCTAGAAAGAAATATAATTATCTTGTTTTTAAGTGGGTGAAGAAACTCAAGATAACAAGTGGAAGAATTTGCACATTAAGATCTGTATTCCAAATTGATTTTTTTTTTAAACTAACAGCAGGCCGCTGGTGGCTTAGGCCTGTTATCTTAACTACTCAGGAGACTGAGATCTGAGGATTGCAGTTCAAAACCAGCCAGGCAAGAAAGTCCTTGGAGACTCTAGTCTCCAATAAACCACCTGAAAACCAGAAGTGGTGCTGTGGTTCAAAATGGTAGAGTGCTAGCCTTGAGCTTTTGAAGATAGGCAGGGCCAGTGCTCGGGCCTAGAGTTCAAGTCCCACACAGACAAAGACAGCAGAACTGTAAAAAAGCAAGACTAAACACAAATTTCAACAGATAAAACTGGGAGGGTCACACAAGTATATGACTTCCACTTCTCTTTAAATTTTACTTCTTATATTGTCACATGGATATAATGCTCTGTCAATCCACAGGGTTAGTAATGTATTGGATGGCCAGCCTCATGTTCTCCATCATTATTAAACTGTTCTCCACTAAAATTTGTAAAAGATACAGAAGACTGGGAATGGGCTTAGGGCAGAGTGTTTGCCTCGCATGCATGAAACCCTATGTTCAATTCCTCAGTAGCACTAACATAAAAAAGGCTGGAACTGGTGCTGTGGCTCAAGTGGTAGAATGCTAGCCTTGAGCAAAAGAGGCTCAGGGACAGTGCCCAGGCCCAGAGTTCAAGCCCCAGGACTGGCAAAAAAAAAAAAAAAAAAGATACAGAATACTCTGCTAGCAAGTTTTGAGTGATTATATAATCAGGTCAAATATTTTTTACAGTTTTTATGAAACCAAACTCCAATATTTTCTAACATCACTTTTTATAATAATCTCAATTGATTCTCAGTGATGATTCTTTAATGTAACTTGTTACAACTTTTATGGCCATATGAAATTAAAACTGTGTGTAAGTTAAAGAACTTCTGTTTTCATCATTTCTGACATCAACATCTACTTCATCTAATTCTTTTACTCTGGTAAAGTCCATGGGTGAGTCTGGGAAATACAAGTCTCTTAAAAATCATACAATTGGTAAGAGAGTTTCAGTTGGTAAGAGAGCTCAAGCCCCAGGACCAGCAAAAAAAATAATTTCTGGAACAATAGAGAAGTACCCATATATCTACTTTGCATATAGTAAGATGATTTTATGAACTTCAAGTGTGGGTACTCTTCTAAAGTAAATTTCAAAGACCTTATCTTAAATTACAACTTTATCTTTTAATCAAACAGTTTACTTAGTAAAGAACCAGAAGTACCAAAATAAATGTACTATTAGAAAAGACAAGAGTGTCTGTAGGAGAACTAAATTAAACAGATTTTATTCAACTTTTAGGATGAAGAAAACAAATGATATAAAATAAGTCATAAGAAATGTTCTCTTGTGTGACTATTTCAAACACTTTGAATGTTCTATAAAATGCTCACACAGCAAATATGAAAAGCTTCAATACACTTCTTTTTGTAACTTCTGTTGCAACAAATGCAACATTAACAGCATAAATTTCTTCTGTACCAATTTTAAAAGTTGAAATACTGAATTACATACTAACTTTTGTTATACATATTTTTATTCATAGACTTTAATAAGATCATTGCCAATACATACATTATTTTCCTTAACTTTATTTTTACAATAAGCCAGTCTGTCATGCAGCCATCAAAAACCTTACAGAAAATTATACAGGCTTGTAGTCCAACTTAGACTCCAGCTTCTTAGAATCAGCCACTTTTCTGACTGCTTTCATGAAGTCTTCTTGAACTACAAAATCATGATCAGCACGAATTGCAAACATCCCTGTGGAACACAACACAACATGATTGTTGTATATCATATATGTCTGTTGTAAGAAAACAAAGCTAGAGCAGGGTCATAGGCTGACACAAGAGTATTATGGATGGGAGGTTAGCCTGGACAATAAAAACATTGCTCAAAACTAAAACACGACAAAACCAAATAATGGAGCACAATGGAATAAACATAAAGGAGTTTAGATTTACAATTTCTGAGCCAGTAATTCTCATTTGTTAACCACTATCTTCACTCAATTAATTTTCATAGTTATGGCAAGCATTATCTTCAACCCGAAAGCAGGTGAGACAGTTATCTGAAATTCTTAAATCTTGCTTGAGTAACAGTCTCTGTACCCAATAGTCTCTGTAACCATTTAGACACCCTAAAATAAAAGAAACTTATCAACAAAACTTAACACACACACACACTTAATTCATAAGCAGTAATTTCCTAAAAGAGGGAAATGCATTTATGGGCGGGGCGGGGCCCAGGTGGGGAGGGGGAGGGGGGAATACATTAAGGATAGAGATATGGGTGAGTGCTCACTTTCAGCATGTGCAAGGCCCTGGTTTTGACCCAAGCAGGGCAAAAGCAAATGAACAAACAAAAGCCCTCCAAGATTTTGAAAACATTTCTCTTTCCTTGCTAACAACTAAAGAATAGGAGGCCAAATTCATTATTTCTCTCTCCTTCCCTCCCTGTCTTCTCCCCCCCTTTCTTTCCTTCCTGCTCTCTCTTACCCCTCTCTCTGGGCAGATCAAACTCAGGATGCTGAAAATGCTATCATTGAGCTATATACCCTCAGCCCTCTCCCAAATTTTGAAGTTACTTATTAAATACTTGGCAAAGGAATAAAAGCATTTTGTTCCTTTTTATTTTTAAACATTAGCTATATTATAGATAGGGGTCCTAATTTTTTAAGACAATTCTATATTCAGGATAAACTGAAGCTGGCAAGCTATCATCTACCAACATTTCTATTGAGGAGCTATCTGTATTGATTTTTTTTTCTCTCCAGATGTAAGGCTTGAACTCAGGATTGGGTTTTGTCCCTGAGCCTCTTTGTGCTACCACTTGAGCGACAGTGCCACTTCCAGTTTTGAGAGGTTCACTGGAGATAAAGAGTCTCACAGGGACTTTTCTGCCCAGGCTGGCTTGGAACCTCAATCCTCAGATTTCAGTTTCCTGAGTAGCTCAGATTACAGACATGAGCCACTGGCACAAGGCTGTATTGAATTTTTACTTACATGAAGGGAAGGGATTAAAATAAAGATTTTAGGAGTTACTTCCTGTATTTCCTTTGTAAGTTTCTACAAGAGAAGACTGGAAATAGCGATTGTATATTGTCCTAGAAACCAGATGAATGGAAATGACTGATTTTTTTTTTTTTTTTTTGTGGGTCGTGGGGCCTGAACTCTGAGCCTGGGCGCTGTCCCTCAGCTCTTCAGCTCAAGGCTAGCGCTCTATCACTTGAGCCACAGTGCCACTTCTGGCCTTTTCTGCTTACATGGTGCTGAGGAATCCGAACCCAGGGCCACATACATGCAAGGCAAGCACTCTACCACTGAGCCACCTTCTCAGCCTATGATTTTAAATAGTGGTTTCAAAACTTGTTTAAAAGGCTAAAACTAATGATTTTCATATTTATGTGCATATGATTGCTTTGAAATCACTGTTTAGTGAATAAGTAGATCTCCAAGAGATACACTCTAATCCAAAAAGGATGAAAATATTAGGGTTTGCTTAACTAGAGAAGGTAACTATAATTGAATCACATGAGTTTTAACTTGTTAAAAACATGTTAACCAAATAGGCTTGCAGCCTAGGGAAAAGAAAACGTAAGAAGGATTCTCCTATAAATCCAGATATAAATATCTCACCCAGTTAAAAGCTCTAACACTGTTACAGTTCATTATGGGGAAAAATGTGATCTTTTCTAAAAATATGCAAATTATATGAAATAATGCTTGACCTAAAAAGACAGACAACAAGGGCTATTGAAGATTTAGAAATCCTTGTACAGTTAGTGGGAATTTGAGTTAGTACCATTGTTACAGATAACAGAATGGAGGGTTTGCAAAAAGTTGCAACAGAAATGCCACATGACCCAGCAATCTCATTAACTGGGTACATATTCAAAGGAAATGAAATCAGCTATTCCCATGTTAACTGCAACACTGTAATAGTCAAGAAATAGCAAGCAATCTAAATGCTCACCAATTAATAAATGGCTAAAGAAGTTGTGGAACTTGGGCTAGGAAGGTGGCTCAGTGGTAGAGCGCTTGCTTTGCATGCATGAGACCCTGGGTTCGATTCCTCAGCACCACATAAGCAAAAAGAAAAAAGCTGAAAATGGTGCTGTGGCTCAAGTGGTAGAGCACTAGCCTTGAGCTGAAGAGCTGAGGGACAGCGCCCA